TTGTGTTCAAAGCTGCCTTACTCTGTTGCAGTCTCTTTACACCACAGTTTGGATCTGAGCTCGTTAGGAGCTGGGTGCCTGAGGTCTTCCTATTTCTCTACTTTCTTTTTCAGTACTGAGAATTGAACCCAGAGCCTTCAAAATGAGCTGATCCCCAGCCCTTTTATAATTTTTGAGACAAGGTCTTGATAAGTTACTGAGTTGCCCAGCCTGGGCTCCAACTTGTGATCCTCCTGCCTCAGCCTCCGAGAGTGCTGAAATTACAGGGATACAACACCATGGCCCTCTCTTTACTTTGTTTTTACCACATTTGAGGCAATATCTGTTTCAAGCCTGTCTATAGTCCTGAAGCTCCAATTTTATCACCCCCTCACTTTCAGAAGACAGACTTGCTTCTTAGTTGAGAGGACACACACACACACACACACACACACACACACACACACACACACACACACACACACACACACACACACACACGTGCACGCATGTGCTCTCATAATGGCTGCGGGGGCAACAACGAAGGGTAGACCACACAGACCTCCTCCACTTCCGTGGGGCCTGGCCCAGCTATGGGCTGCCCCACACCTGTGCTGCTGCTCCCCAGCCCCTGCCCCCAGCTCCCAGAATCCCATGCTCAGGACGTCCACTTCATGCTTCCCAGCGCGGAACCCAGGGACAGGACCTGCATGGAGTATACCCTGTGCCCTGTTTCCTAAGAGAAACTCAGAGCAGTGCAGGTGTGCCCTGGCCCTGCAGTGGCCCTGGGGCCCAGCGAGCCAGGAGCCAGCACCGTGCAGTGTGGCCTGGATGCTGGTGTCTCTGTGCCCCTCGTGACCACGGTCCCCTAGTCATCCAGTGCTCAGGCAAAGGAGGCCTCGCGTTCCGCTCCTCCGTGTTCTTTGGCTGAGCACAGGATGGAGCTCACCAGGAAAGGTGACTTTTCCATGCAGTCCTGCTGGGCAAGTGGGCACCCAGGGACACCTGCCAAAGGAGAGGGAAGCCTGTGTGCCTCCACCTGGCCAGCTCCAGGCCAGGGTGATACTGAGTTGAAGAGCAATATAGCTGGAAGCTCAGCCGTTTTCATTAGTTCACTGGCCATGTACATCACATGTGTGTATGTGTGCTGTGTATATGCTGTGTGTGCTGCGTATGTGGGGTGAGTGGGCAGTGTGTGTGTCTGATGTGAGGCCTGTATGCTGGCTCCTGTGCACGCTCCCTTGTCTCCGGGCTGTGAGCTGCTGCTCCTTGGCCCTCTCACTTTGTGCCTGGGCACCACGTCTCCCTGGCTGCTGTTTTCTTATTGCTCTCACCAGGTTCGGCTGACTCCCGGTGCCTGACTCCGCGGGGCCGGGCACCACGGCCTCCAGGTCCCGGCTGCCTGAGTCTGGCAGCTGTGAGAGGTCCACCCACGATGCCCGTGGCCGCACAGCTCCTTTGGCCCGGCACTGTGGCCTCGGGCCCGAGAGGGCTGACGGGTGTGGTACGAGGCGTTGCTCCACTTCACTCTCCCTGGGAGATGCGTGGCGACCCACGAGCTGACTGTGTCCGGCACTCTGTCCCACACTGCATGGCCCGCTGCGAATCCCTGGTCTCTCTCCTTCCCAGTGGGTTCCATCCAGCTATTTGCTACTACAGCTGCGAAGAGTGTGCCTGAAGCTTTCTTGGTCGTGTCCCACACTCATCCTTCCAGATGAACTTTAGAAAAACTTCATCAAGTTTCAAAACTAAGCTCATTCTATTAAACATCCACACTGAATTGGGAAAAATGACATCTCCGAGTCTGAGCCTCCCCTGTCCCCACAGGGTGTTCCACCTCAACTCAGTCATTCTTTACAGCATTTGTTAGCTGTATCCATGAGTCTTACACCTTTCTGGGCAAGTTACTCAAGGCCCCTGTGTATGTGTGCAAATGTGTGTACTGCATGCAGTGACGTTCGCCCTGTCAATCTGTTTTGACAGATGAATACAGTTGTGTGGTCACCACCAAATCAAGCTGTCGCAATTTCCACTACACGGAAAGCCTTCCTTTGTCTCTTTCTGTCAGCTCTCCACTCACCCCACCCTCTGGCAAATGCTGATACGCCTCCCTCCCATCTCTATAGTTCGGCCTTTCATGGGATGTCATGTAAACTGGCAACTGGTAACATTTTGAGTCTTCTCTCAGCTTCCACTGGCAAGGCCACCCGTCCATTCCTCCGAATCGCTGGTAGTGTTCCATCGCAGCATGAAGATGGACACTTTGGTGGCTCCCAGTGACAATGATAAGCAAGTTGTTAAGTGCTCCCTGTGTGTGTGTGTGTGTGTGTGTGTGTGTGTGTGTGTGAGCACGCGCGTGCGTAGATACAGGTCTTCATTTCTCACTGGTAAACACTTAGGAGCGGGGGTGCTGGGTTGTGAGTGTATGTTTAGCACTACTGTTGAACATTTTGTTGCTACTGCAAAAAGGACTTTTCCTTTGTATTTTCTGAGAAATTGCTGTGAATGTATAGGAAATCTTTGCTGATGTATTTCTCTTTTGTGACAGTTTACCCTGCCAAACTCATTATTTCCAATAATCTTTTCAGTTGCTTTTCTTATCCTAATTCAGAAGTCTGAAGGCAGAAAAGCATCATGTAATTTTATTTTCTACTATCCAGCCTTGTTGTATCACACTGGTGATGATACCAGACCACTGCTGAATAATGAGAGAGAAGACATCTTTGCCATCTTCTGTCCTCAAAGGTAGTTTTAAAATTTGGGGTGGAAGGATGAGCTTGCGCAGGCTGTGAACTTTCTAGTGCCAACCAAGTGATCACCATTCTTTACACGTCATAGAGCAATGCTCCACAGCCCTTTCAGACTCAGCCTACAAGGGCTATCGGGTACTGTGCCACCCTCACAGAGGCCCAGGTGTGTCCATCCCATCAGCGCGAGAGCCAGCCTGGGGAGCGGAGGCTCGGGTGGGGTGGCAGGAGAAATGACAGCCTTGGCCTCGGTGCAGGCAGTGAGTTCCCACATCAATCAGCTCTGCAGAGTGCAAACTGCGGTCTTGTTTTTCACCCAAGTCTAACCCAAAGCCTACCTCTCTGTTCCCTGTGCTCTGCTTTAAGCAACATTCAGTGTGTAAACACTTCTGCCTGCCCTTAGCCAGAGCTGCTCTGCCGCAGGGGACAAGTTCAGTAACTGCCTTTTCTGGTATGCAAGATGCTATTGGGTTGAGTATTTGTAGCTCCAGGGCAAACTCGGGGCTGACTTGAGGTCCCAGCAGGCAAGTTTAGGACCATAGAATTAACTCTCTGCTTCCTACTCAGGGAGAGCTGGGTGCATGGGGTTTCCCTCCTCCTCCTGCTTCCTTCTGCCCTGAAGACCATTGCAGCCCAGTGAGGGGGGATCAAAGCTTGGGCACCAGCGGGCAGCAGAGATGGAGGACACACACCTACCGTCAGCTGTGCCCTGAGGTCTCAGCCACCGCCTGCACTCAGCACCAGCATATGGATGTGACAAATACAGCCTTAGCCCTGTGATGCAGAGGATCAGAACCCTTGACCCCAGGAAGTTACTGGTGGAGCCCTGAGACCGAGCTCCACTCCCCCTCACGGACCAGGGGCATGGCTGTGGGAGGAGGGTGGTGTGGGAGGTGCAGGCACAGGGTGTGAGGATGCACCCTGTGCCTGCACCTCCCACACCAAGTCCCACCACTTGGGCCTGCTCTAGACCGCGCCCATGCTGGCCCATCCTGACAGCTGGCTCCCTACTGTGCACTCCCCCATCGACAGAGTTCCCCGCTAGATAAAATGGCCTTAACCCCATATCCTAAATGGCTCTTCTCTACAGATAATAAACCACTCCGGGGAAACAAAGACCCAACTTCCCACCACAACGCTCTCCCACTTCTCGTCCTTCCCGCCGGGACATTTAAGCTTGCCAATGGATTTAAACCTCACCTCTGGCTGTACCTCTACCCTCACTACGCTCCCTGTGACCCCTTGCCTGTATGAAACCTCACCCAGCCAGACCCTGCCCCACTGCCCTCACCATTATCCGAGACAGTCTGGCACGCGTCCTCTACAGCCTGTCCCCTAACAAAAGCTAGTTTTGGGTGTTCGTGTCTCTGGCTCAATTTCCATCCTCTCACACATGTGGTCACACGGTGCTGGCTCACAAAAGGGAAGGGATGCAGGATCTTTCTCTGCTGGAATCAGCTCTCAAAGACAGCAGGATGCAGGGAAGCTGAGCTACCCAGAGGAGCTTTTTGCAAAGGAAGAAGCAATGATTTGAGGCCACAGTCTTCTCTGGACTTAGAGCTGGGGCCCTGGGTGAGTACTGCAGTGACTTGGCCTCAGTCTCCCCATCTGCAGAAACTGGTCGCACCTCCTTCAGAGAGTCACTTGAACTGCTAACAGATGCACACAAGGTGCCAGCTCTGCAAGCACCCAAGCCCCCACTGCAGCTGCAGGAACCACTGAGGACACCATGCCCAGTGGCACAGCCCTGAGAACCCTTCCTGCCTGAAGCCAGCTCTGTCTTCTGTGTTTTTCAAACAATGTGCCTTAGTGCTCAGGCCTGCTGGGGCAACTGGGCAAGGGGGGATGTGTGGGGTCTTCAGGGACCACAGGACAGAAGCATTCATTTGTGTGAGACCCTGGGCTTCTCTACAGTTTGTCTGACAAAGCACTGAGGCTAAAACAAGCCAACACATCTGGGAGCAGCGGTGACGTGGGACCCTGATGGCAGTGTTTAACACGTGGACTCTGTGCCACGGTCATCACTGATGAAGAGGACTGGCTGCCTAGTTCCACCCATCGTCAAACCTCACAGGGAGCAGGTGGGAAGGGAGGGAGAGGGAGCAGGCACTGTCTTTGCAGGACACAAGGCAGCACTGGGGATGTCTGGGATGGGGAGCTGCTTGGGCTTGCTTAGTGCCCTGGCCGGTGCCCCTGAGAGCTCCAGGGCTGCACACTCACGCACACCTGTGCACACCTGTGCACACACGGAGCCTCACGGCCCTGTGCCCTTACCTTCCTTAGCTCATCCTGGACACTCTGGGTATTCTCCTCTGCAGACAGGCTCTCCTTCTGGTTCTCGGGCCCTGTCTTGGGGTCAGACTCGGGGTCCTCCCCAGAAGATGTCTCCTTTTCACTCATCTTCAGGGCCAGCTCATACAGCCGGCTTCTCCGCTTCTCCTCAGCTGTGTCGGAGCTGGTCCGGGAGTCTGCAGCCTCGGTGCTGATGTCCGTCTCCGATAAGTCACTGGGCACCTGGAGGAAAGCCAGAATGTGAGTGAGGACCCCGATCGTGCCCGAGGGAGGCAAGGGACAGACGGCCAGGAGGCAGCAGCTTGACACATGTGCTCCTGGGCTTCCACCTGGGCGGCCCAGCAGGAGTAGGCCCCGGAGCTCTCTGCAAACTGCTCAGCGTGGCTGGGGCAGGGATGACGATGCCTGGTGAGGCTGCGCGGCAGAGGGAGGCTGGGGTGGGGGACTGTGGAGGGACAAATGGGTGGTGGGATAAGACATCACCACTTCAGCTTTCCTTGCGAACAGTTGAGAATTCAGAATTTTTCATTAAGGCAAAGAAAAGAAAGCCGACAGAGATCATTTCTGATTGTTAGACGACTCGGATGAATTCGGGAGGGACCAGCACTCGGGCTCTGGGGTCAGCAGTGGCGCTGATCATGTGAGTGGCGTCTCGGAGTCTGGCTGACTCTGCCTGTGCAGACTTCCCCAGAATCGAGTGCTGATGTGCAGACGTCACCGATGATGTGGATGAGGGTGGACAGAAGAGCGGCTCTGCCACTCGTCAGTGGCCCAGCGGGAGGGGCTTCGCCACACTCCAGACCAGAGGAGAAAGTGGGCGGAGCACAGAGCCAGCTCCCCTCCCGCAGCTGACTGGCGCTGTCCTTGAAGGCCAACACACACAGATTCACACCACGCAGCCTGCGGGCATCTGGGAGAGACCGAGGCAGGGATTTCGGTCTGTGGTCAAGTGGACCTCTGCTGTGTGCTTCAGTATTCTCACATTATAATATATTCATTTGTTTTATACTGACTTATTTGTGTAACTAAAAACTAAATAACAACCCACATATATTGTGTCACTGATTGTTTTGTTTTTCCTTAAAATTTTTTTTTGTACCGGAAATCAGACTCAGGACCTTGTGCTTGCCAGGCAGCCGTAGCACCACTGAGCTACAACCCTGACTCTGTCATTCGTTGTTTTGGAGAAGAGAACAGCCCAGCTGGCTAAGTTAAGGGAGGACATGAGGTCCAGGTTCGCTGCTGCCGCCACCCAGGGAGCCCTCCAGCAGCGGGAGGGAACACAGACACTCGCTGAGGTCACTCTGGGGCAGAGGTGATGCCGGTGCCAGGCCTGTGGCCCGAGCCTCTCCTCATGAAGCCTGGGAGAGTAGCACCAGAGCTCACCCACGCGCATCTGCAATAAATGGGAGGTGTGGACACCTGAGGGGTCACCCAGATAGCCCTGGAGTGCCGTGGGCCCAGCACCCAGGGCCTGGGATGAGTCTCCCCCAGAGCGGGACGGTCAACTGGAAGCTGGGCCGATCTAGGATCATGATGGCCCAAGCCTGACTCAGCAGTCTCGTCTTGGAACAGGGAAATGAGAGACTGGGCCACAGCAGCCTCTTTCTAGCCAGGTGTCAGCAGTCGGGCAGGGAGGAGGTCGTACTTGGAGCCAGCCCACTTCCTGGAGCCCTGGGATTGGGATCTGGCTGGTGCATTTGGGGGTCTCTGGGACTCTGGGGAACCCCAGATACATGACAACGTCCACCCTCCCCTGCCCGGACTCCCAGCTGTGTCCCCAGCTGCCCCAGCGTCTGGGTCTGGACTGGGTCAGGCCATGCGGCCTTCTCACTCCCGTGCACCCTGGGCTTCTGGGTGATGTTGGGGAGTCACCAGCCCACAGGTACAGAAGGACACCGGAAGGGATTCGCTCTCCGGATGCGAGTGGCAGGTGGAGGGGATCGCCAACAACAGAGCTCCAAGTACTGCCCTGTGGGGTGTTTATAGGTCACAGTGAGCTGCTTCCGAGCTCGAAAACCCTGTGCAGGGACACATGGAGGGTGCTGGACGAGAAGGGCAGAGTGTGCAGAGGACACGAGGGAAACTGAGGGGGAGCCTCATAAGCAAGCCTGGCATGTGAGTGCATGACTGTGTTCTTCTGTGAACGTGTATGAGTGTGTTTGTGAATGTGAGAAGGTGTGGCATGTGCAAATGTGTTACAAGTGTAGTGTGACAGTGTAAGGGTGTCTCTGAGGGCACAAGTGTGAGGGCAAGTGTGTGTGATGTGTTGTGTGTGAGTGGATAGGTGTGTATGAAGTGTGTTGTGCGTACGACCATGTGAGGTACACTGTGTGTGCTGTGCAGTGTGACTGCGTGAGTGTGAGATGTTGTGAGTACATGAGTCGTGATGAGTGTTGTGTGTGTGACTGCAGTGTGAGTGCGGGCGTGTGCGTGCATGAGTGTGAGTGCGTGATGTGCAGTGTGGGTGCATGTGTGTACAGTGTATGTGATGTATGTTGTAAGGACACGAGTTGTGTCTGATGCGCAGTGAGCGTGTGAGGTGCATGCACTGTGTGAGGAGGAGTCGTGTGATGAGTGTGCAGTGCATGTGTGCGAGTGTGAGAGTGTGAGTCTCCCAAGCAGGGTGCTCCCAGCTCTGCTGTCTCTGCAGTGCTCACAGATGACCCAGCTGAGCGGAGGCTTGGAGGGTGTAGGGGGCATGGCTGGACCACAGCCACAGGTCAAAGGCGTGTGCAGGTCATTGGTCAAAGCCCTGGTCATTGCCCTGTGCTGTGTGCAGGATGGACCTCAGCTCTCACACGTGGTCCGTCACCGTCACACGTGCTAGGGGCTGGTCAGGTTGGTCCATATTCCAGAGAGGACCCGGGAGAGGGCCAGGGAGGCGCTGCCCAAGGCTGCCAGCTGGACCGTTCCCCTCAGCACCCTGACCTGACCTCATGCTGGGCGGTGTTTGCACCCATGAAGCCACAGCTACAAACCACCCTGCCTTCTACCCCGCCATCTCCAGAGGGGATGTGGGGCCTGGAGACCTGGCCAGGGTGCTCAGTTGCTGAGCAGCAAGACCTGGACCTAGAGGAGACCTGAGTCAGACTCCAAGCCCTGCCTCGCTGGCTTGTGAGTGGCAGTTGTGCTGGGAAGGCCCTGGGTCTCACCTGACTCGTGTGCAGGTCCTGGGTGCAGGTGTTAGGGGCACACTGTTCTGTGCCCAGCTCCTTGGTGTTCAGGTGCGCCCTGCGCCACTGCCTGGCCCGCCAGTCTGTGGCCTGGGAGGCCTCCTCCGCCTCGCTGCTGTCTGAGGTCTCCCCGCTGGCAGCCTGCAGGTTGAAGTTCACGTCCAGCTCACCTTGCAGGCGCAGCTGCTCAGCTGCGGGGTTCCGGGAGCCCCTCCTGGGCGGCCAGAAGCTGGCCCGGCACCCTGCATCCCGGGAGGAGCCAGCTGAGGATGTCTCGGAGTCAGAGCCCATGGCCTCGGGATTGGGGGAGGCTCCCGGGGAGGGGGAGGTGGCTGGGGCGCGGTGGTCAGCACCCTGGGCCTGCAGGCATAGCTTGCTCAAATCCGCATTCCAGTCGAAGTCCTCCTCGCAGCCAGAGCCCAGCTTCTCATAGGCAGATGCCGCAGGGGACGACACCTCTAGGGCCTGCAGGGCTGTGCTCTTCTGTGTGGCCAGCAGGCATGCAGGGGGCGCCACACTACCCTTCAGGGCCACCCAGTTCCCATCAGGGCTCTGGAGAACAGGGGCTGCATCTGCAGGAGGAGAGGAAAGGGGCTGTCATGAGTGGGCGGGCAGGGCTGCCAGGGTCCCCTCCTCACTCTGGCTCTGCAGGAAGCTGGGAGGGTGCCCAGCTGGGGGTGTGGTTTACCACCTGGGAGGGTGGAGAAGTCCCTGGGGCTCTGGTTCTTCTCTCTGGTCTCTCTGGGTCACCTTGGTCCCCTGGAACCACCCACCTCTGGCCCAGGGTGGCTGCAGGGGTCCAGGTTCTGGCTGTCTGACCTTGGGCTGTGTTTGTCTCCTGAGCCCTCAGTTTCCCTTTGCTGAAGGAAAATGACTCCACCCCTGCCCGTCCACCTCACTTCTGCCCTGGGACATTACCCCACGTCCCCACAAGGCCTCAGGGACAGGCATGAAAGATTCCGTGACCCCGGGTCCTCCCCATTCTGGAAAGGGCTGAGGCCCAGAGTGTTGGCTTTTCTGCACAATCCACAGAGGAGGACATGGAGTGAATGAAGGCCACTCGCCGAGGGTGCAGGCAGCTGCTGGAGAGGCCAGGAGGCCTGTCCTGTACCCAGGAGTGTGGGCGGGAGTGCTTCCCAGGGTGGCTGTCACCTGGGGCGAGCAGTTGCTGGGCCCCAGGGTGAGCCATGTGCTGGGGTGGGGATAGGACAGTGCTTTGCATTGCTCTGTTGAAGGCCACGAGGTAAAGTTCCTGCCCACGGCCTGGAGCAGGGTGGCGGAGCTGCAGCCTGTGTAGCCTTGGGAACCATGGGCACAGCATCTCAGGTCAGGTTGTCCAGGTGGGTGGGTAAGGATGGCTCGGGGACAGGGAGGGGACTGTCTCCAGCCTGCTTGGACCCTGCTTCTGGGCTGAAGGCGAACCCAAACCTGGGTCTCACTTTGTGTTACTTAGACACACAGGTTCCTGCCCTCTGATCAGTTCCCGCCTAGGACACAGTGAACGCGTGTCATGGCTGTGTCTATGTGTCCCCAGACTCGTGCAGTCACAGGCAGGCTTTTTCAGAGGTGGCTGGATCCAGAATGTGTGGTGCTGGGATTGTGGGTGTGGGATTACTAAACTCGTCCACTGACTGGTTTGGCACTGCCTTAATCCCAGATAGAGCATAAAAGGGGCAGAAAGAGGGTGGTAAGGGCTCGTGCTTTCTTTGCTACCTTCTATCTGCCGTGACCTGTTCCTCCTCCTCCATGCTGTCTGCCACGCCTTCTGCCTTGGAGCCAGCCAATTATGGATGGAAATCTCTACACACTGAGCCAAATAAACCTTTTCTCCCTTAACTTCTGGTGTCAGCTACTTTGTCTCAGCAGTGAGAAGGTGCCTGGGACGGCATGGCCCCAGCGTCTCTGCGCTGTCTCAGAGCCATAGCTGTGGGGACGTGTTGGAGGCGCGGTGCTTCAGTTCTGAGATTCCTCCACTGCCACTGGCCAGGAGCAGCTCTCCGTGGAGACCTGGAGCCCAGCCATGCCCTCTGTGCCATCCATCTCTGCCACAGCATGCGGGGACCCCAGGCCCTTGAGCATCTCTTCTTGTTCCTGGATGCGTTCTTGTGTCCACAGCAGGCTTGGCCCTCCTTTCTGAGAGCAGATGAGCCAGTTTGTGTCATGGAAAGAACTGAGGTCTCCGTATCTAAGGCCTGGGAAGCAGCCCCCACTCTGCGCAGCTATGTGATCCCAAGTCTCAGTTTCCCTCCTGGGCCAAGAGGGGCAGCAGGGCTTTAGGAGGCTGATGCAGGCACTCTGGGCAGACTCTGCTGCCAGCTCCTTCTCTGTTCATGGAGGGTGAGGCTGCCTTGGCACAGCCAGGGCTGGGCTCATGGCGACAGCTCTCTGTACGCGTCCCACCGGATGAGTCTGCAGAGAGGGCTGCCCGGGGTGGCTGCCATGTTGTGTTCATGTATGCATGGTCCTAGGAAGGGTCCTTCCCTGGGAATGAGCAATAGGCCATGCCCTCATCCCCTGCCTCTGGTCCCGTCCGAGCAGGAGGGGACAGCACGGATCCCGACATCTGCTGCCGCCTTTTACCTGACACTGTCTGCACCCACTGTGCCTCCTGGCTCACGGCCCCAGTGGGCTGCAAGGCCTCAGTCCCACACTAGACTCCACTTCCGGGGAACCAGAGATGCCCAGAAGCACAGCCAACCCCCGAGAAAGAGGACGCTTTCTCCAGAAGGAAGTGTCCTTGGCTCAGTGGGGCACGGAGCCTGCTGCCTGGCATCTTTTGAACCTGCCCTGGCCATCGGGCATGCCAGGCTTCTGCCCAAGGAGCGAGTGGCTTGGGGTTCTCAGGCTTCCCAAAGCTTTCATCTCAACCACTAGGCCTCTGCACTACCTGGCCTGGCTGTGGGCCCTAGTCTGAGGGGCTCCCCTCATCCAGCCTGGGCACAGAAGGCTGCTGAACACTATACCCCAGCTCAGGGCCGGATCTGCTCTCTGCTCATGGTTCTCCCAGGCTGAAGGCAGAGCTGGAACCCCACCCACAGCCCTTGGTGCTGGCTCTGGCTGAGCACCAGACTGGCCCTCCCAGGGCCTCGGGATGAGCTCTGCTCTTCTCCTGCCTTTCACAGGCCCTCAGGGCCTCTCCCCTCCTTGGAAGCTGGAAATCAGCCACTTTTCTCAGTAGAACCCAGTACCTCTTTGCAAAAACACTCCTGGCTCTGGCACCCAGCCAAGCAGACTGGGTGTCAGCTGAATCTTCAGGATGATACGAGGTCGTGCCTGGGCTGCAGGTCACATCCTCAGTCCAGCGGGGACACCTGGGGCTGCCTGTCTCCGCCACTTCTTGTCCAGAGTCTTTCCACTGTGTGCATTCTCTGCTCAGCCAGCTCTCGAGACTCATGACCTTTGTTTCCTCAATACACAGAAATGCTGTGTGCACAGCAGATGCTGTTTCAAGGTCACAGCACGGAAACGTGTTTGAGGAAACCTAGTAACGGCTGTGAGCAGTGTCTGGGCTGGAGGTGACCTCCCTGTGCTGATCAAGCTGCCGTGTCCTAAGGCTGCACACGGCTGGGCTCCTGAACCAGCATTCTCCTGAGGTGTAAACACAGCTGCTGAAACAGCCCGGGGACGTTGCCCTTCAGCCATGACCTCAGCCGGGGCTTCTCTATCCCACATGTTGGCACTCAAGAGGGAGCGATGGCTCTGAGTGATGTGTTTCCTGCCAAATGTCACGCTGCCTTCCAAACTCTGGGGTTGGCAGGGAAATTTTGGAATGTCGAGGGCTGAACATTTCCCAGAAGGAAATCTTTTACCTAAGTGGTTTTTTATCTTAAACCTTCACCCTGAGATATGCAAGAATGTTTGAACAAAATCTTTTCTTGTGTGTGATGTTACTGAATTAAGAAATTTTTACAGAAGTTATGCACAAAAATGTAGTGAAAACAAAATTCTTAGCCAAGTGTGATGGCACATGATTGTAACCCCAACACTCTAGGGTGAGACAGGAGGATTCAAGTTGGAGCCCAGCTTGGGCAACTCAGCAACTGAGTGAGACCTTGTCTCAAAATTAAAAAAACGAAACAAAACACAAGGGCCTGGTGATGTGGTTCAGTGCCAACGCCCTGGGTTCGACCCTTAGTTCTGAGAGAAAAATTGCTTCATAGACTCAGGAGGCGCCGTGCTGTGAGGGCCAGGCTTGTAGAAGTTCCCATAAACCTCTGTTGCGTTGCTCTGTAAGTCTGAGTTCTGAGGTGCTGTCTGGGTTTGAACACCAGCTCTGCTTGCTGCAGGGCAGGGGCCTCAGGCTGGTGGTTCCAGTGCAGGGAGATCTTGCTCACGAGATTCTCAGGTGTCCCGTGTACCCGAGTCCCTCCTCTGTGGGGATGTGAGGCCCATGGGGAGGGACCTGAGGACTGGATAGGAATGTCCTGGGAGCAGGGGAAAGGCATATCTCGACATTTGGAGAATGCATTTGAAATAAAAAATCCAACCCACAGACACAAAGAACACATCAGGTGCCCCAGAATCGCTTTTGGTGCCCCACGGTTTCTGCTGCTAGGTATGAAAGGGTCAGCAAGCAGTGGTCTCTCCTGGTAGCTCCTGGGCTGTGGTTAAGAAATACTGGATGTTTCTGGCGTCTGCATCGCGTCTAGACAACTGCTGACTGAGTCGTTTTCCCTGCAGAGTGGGGAAGAAGCGGCTCTACAGGCTCATTCCAGGAAGGCCGTCTTGCTGCCGGTCTTGTTGCTCTGGAAAGGGGTTGGGATCTGGCACCCCGTGGGATGAAACTGTGGCCTGTGGCTCCCTATGCAAGGATACACTCGTGCGCCTGCTTCCTCTCTGTGGACCCCACATACCCAGTGAGGATGGCAGACCAGGGCCAGTGCACCCCTCCCTGCAGCCTCAGGGTCCAGTGGCTGTCTCAGCTCAAGACAGAGGACTGGGGTGCAGTTCCCTGCTGGGTGTCAAGAAGCCGGAAGCTGCCTTCTCAGCTCTCTTCCTCCACCTGCTGGAGGAATGTGGCAACACAGGTGCACATGCCTCTGCCTCTTTTCATCCAGGGGATGCCACTGCCCCGTGGGGGCTGGAGAGGAAACTGTTGCACAGAACAGCATTGGCAAATGTGCCTTGCCCGGCGTGGTCCCGAGTGTGTGAACCTGATTCACATCAGGTTTCAGCAAGGACACCTGAAAACCAGTCTGCCAGGACCACTCTGGGGAGCCACAGGTCCCAAGAGGCTGGTTTGGCGGCCCTGGCTGCATCAGACACTTTCTCCTGTCTGAGTGGCTGGGGCTGAGGTAGGGCTGTGGGGGGCGGTTTTAATGCACAAGAGCAGGACTCCCTGTCCCCAGCTCGGCAAAGGGCGAGAGCCTCCTGAACCCCACTCCAGGCCCCTGGCCGAGAGTGGGCCAGGTTGGCTTTGCCAGTGCACGCTCCACGCTGGTCCCTGGGCCCAGCTGCCCAGGGCAAACTCCAGCCACACTCAGGTAGGAAGCCACGCCCACCCAGTGGCTAGGGAGCCTGAGAGCCTAGCCCCTTACTTGTTCCGTCCAGCCCATCCACGCTCTTCCAGCTGGGCAGGGCGCACGGCTGCCCCGGACACCGCCTGGCTGCAGCTTCCAGGGCTGCGGTCTTCTGGGAGTCTTCCCCAGGGAAGGAGAATGCAGGCTGGGACCTCTGTGGAGAGAGAGAGGGAAGGGGTGAGCTGGAGCCCGGCTGAGCGCTCTCACCCCACCGTGAGTAACGGAGGCTCTACGCAAGTGTGCAAATGGCTCCCTGCATGTGGCGCTGCATGAATAAGCCCCACAGTGCATGTGTGGTGACTGACACACAAGTGAGCACAAGGAGCCACCAGGCTGCAGGGCCGGACGATAACAGTGTGTCCAGTTTACCAACTGAGGCGGAGCTGGGACTGACTGTAGGAGACACTTCCACTGCATCCCGTGCATTCCGGCTCACACGTCACACCGGAGCTTCACACAGCAGCTTCAGCAGACGTGAAACATGGCTGTTCCCTTTGCCACTTAATGCAGGAATTGTATCCTATGGGTTGTTTGCTTTGCCTTCTACCCTAAGGCACTCAGGAGGGAACAGAGGTCTGAAAAGCCACCAACGCAGGCCTCTGCTGCCCTGCTGTCTCCGGCCACCACAGCCCCTCTCCTCTGCCGCCAGGACAGGAGGGAGGGCTTGGTATGGAAGGGGACCCAAGAGCCGGTGTCCTGGGCTTGATGTCCCCTTCAGACACCTTGGCTGAAGATGCACCCCCCACAGGTTCAGGTGCATGGCCTTGCGCTGCAGCCACAGCAAGGGTGGCTTGAGAAACATGTGACAGAGACAGGCAGCAACATCTGGCTCAGGACAGCATCATGCTTGTGGCTGAGGTTCCGGGAAGGTTTTGCCCACTGTGGATGGATGTGTAACCAGCCTAAGAAGCAGAGATGGACAGGACTCAGGGCCAGGCACAGGCACGTGGCTGGCTTTGGGGGGCGCAGCTAGGGCAGTGCAGGAAGAAGCCAGGCTTCTGAGCAGTGTTCCCAGGCTGCCACAAGGGGTCTCCAGTTGGTCAGCATGTCGGGCGGCAGTGAGCTCTCTTCACAGCAGCTGGGTCCCAGATTCACTTCCGGCAGGCCATGGCCGAGGACACCTGCTGACTATGCCTCTGCATGGTGGGCCGGGTCTTGCTTCCTCTGTACCTCTGCAAACATCTGCTTTTGGACCACTAGACTTCAGAGTCACTGCGGGTGGTGTCTGTCCTGTGAGTGGTGACATCCCCAGTCCAGGCAAGACTGATGCCTCCTGGGGGCACTTGGGCTTTGGGGACAGCCAGAGCTGGGCTTCCAGAAGGGCCTGAATTTCCTCCCCTACTTTCTTGGATGGAGTGAGAGCAACACATGTGGCACCAGAGACCAAGGCTACACCGATGAGCCAGGCTAACAGGTGGCAGGGCTGAGGCGGGGCGTCCCTTCATTGTTCTGAGCACAGCTGGTGTCAGAGCAGCTCTGAGGAGCAGCCTAGCAGTGGTACAGGTCCCACAGGCTGAGAACTCAGGCATCGTCCCTGACTGTGGCACCTTGGCAGGCCGAGAAGGTTTCCAGAGAGCAGTGCTCCAGGCTGGGGAGCCAGGGCCGTGAGGTCCTCCTGCATCCGCACAGCACTGTTTCCCTCGCAGGGCCAGCTGCCTCTGTGTGACATGACCACACCAGGATATCAACTCCTGAAAGACTCAAGCTCCCAGGGCAGGGCTGTCCACGGCCCCCCAGCCCACATCTGAGGATAAGACAGCCCTGGCCTGAAGGGCTCACTGTAACTAACCTCTCAGAACTGGTCTCTTCTGGCTCCTAAAAATTCTTAGAGCTTCTGACTGACCCCAATCCGTGTTTAAACGACACTTAGATTTCTCTTTCAGGGCTTCAAGCTCTACCTCACGTGGGGATGTGAGTGTCTGTGGGGCACAGGGTCTGTTTACGGGATGCCCCTCAAGGCCAAGATGGGTGGAAATCAAGCCCCTCCTGGGACCAACAGGAAGCCGGGGTCGGTGCCCTCGAGAGAGCGGGCAGTAGGCTGCTGTGGCCCATGGCAGGGAGACCATGCTCCGTAGGGGAGGAGTAGCAGCTTGGAGATCACAGAGCCCCGGGCTCTGCCTGAGCTGCATGGAGACTGACACCAGCCCTGGCTGGGCCACACGTTCCCTGTGGTGGGCACACAGCCCAGCAGATGGCGCCACAGCCACTCTGCAGTCACCAGCCCGGCCCAGCTGCGGGGCTGGGAAGCCTGGGACACAGGAGTCCTCTATCCTCCCTCGACTGCACAGTCAGTTGACCTCCCTCCCTCCCTACATGGCCCCTGCTTTTCTCCCTCCTTACCCACCCACGGGTCTACAGAAGATGCAGGGCTGGGGCTGGCTGGGCTGCCTGAGGTTGGCATGGTGGGGACCCTGGGCCAATGCAGCTGGCATGGCAGTGCCACCGTGACACCTCACAAGATGGCTCTGGCACACCCCTGTGCCCTTGGGTACCCATGGTTTGGGGCATGGGGCCAGGGCCAAGACCAGCTGCTCTTATTCTGTGGGATTTGGAGAACTCTACCAGGCCAAGCTCTGTTTCTCCTTTTCAGGGACCAGAAGCAGGCCCGGCATGGAGCAAGTCCCCACGAGTGGGAACTGGCCTGGATGTTTATCAAGCCCTGCAGCCCAGCAATACATCCTCCTCCCCAGGACTACTGGGTAAACTGAGTCAGGGTGGAGTACTGTTCGTGTGCCCAGGCCTGTGCCAAGGGCCAGGCCATGAACTCCCAGCACCTGCTTCTGCCTGTGGTCTGTGCAGGCACCGGCAGCTGGGGCTCTGGGCCCTGCAATCACCACATCCCACCTGGGTGGGAGCCATGTGCTCTACCTGGGTCACTGTCCCTCATTCTGGGACTGTTCTCTGTGCAGCAGGATGGGCTCCGAGGGCCCTGACCATGGCTCAGAGGGAGCTCAAGAGGGAGCAGGAGGAGGCTCTCAGCACCCAGGATTCGAGGGCAGGGCCCAGTAGGGTGGCATGCGGGAAACAGCTGGGTCGCAGCTTCGCTTAGTGCTCGCCTTGGGTCAGGCAGAGGCAGCTCTGTCCCACAGTCACACCAAAGATGAAAAGTGCTTTAGTTCAGACTGTGGCTGCTCAAAGGAGCAGCTGGGACATGGGAGAAAAGGCTGCAGGAAACAGAGTCAAGAGACAGAACTGGCCAGGGTCGCCTTGGGCACGGGCACAGCGTCACTGTGGTCATCAACAGCATCACCAGGTGGCTCCAGAGACCTCTGAACAGACGAACAGAGCCATCAGAGGCCACAGCCCTGAGCAGCGCTCTCCAGACTCCCACTTCACATGCTGAGCTTCGGCGCAGAGACCACGCACAGAGGAAATTCCAAGGGGAATCACAGCAGGCTGGGTGAGGAATCCTGGATGAAGGGAGACGGACCAAGCTTGAGCTGCAGTGGAGCCCTGGCCCTGGCCTGTTGATGCCAGTCCTGCAGGTGTGTGTTCTGCAGGTTTGGGGTTCTCCAGGTTGTTCCTGAGCCGCGGGTTCCTGGTGAGCTGCGGAGGAAGGAGGAGGCCACAGGCCAGCTCTAGTCTGTGGACAGGGAACCTTCTTCAGAGGCCAGGAAGAGGCTGCTTGAGCCTGCAGCCATGATTATTGCCAGGTCCTAGGGCCTGGGCTTGGGCAGGGGCACAGTGAAGGTCCAGGAGGAGCAGAGGGCAGGAAGGGGGCCTCATAGTCTGCCGCAGGTGAGGCTCGGCCTGGGCCACGGCTGGGCCGGGCCAGTGTTCCTGCCTCTCTGCACTCTTGTCCTGTGCCCATCTCTTCTTCATCTATCTCCAAACCATGCTCGGGGGAGGAAGGGAAGTGACCTGTGTCTGTAGCATGGACACAGCAGCCACTAGGCACTCAGGCTTTCAGGTACCTAGCATGTGGTCAGGGTGACCAAGGAGCCGGAGGACATAGCCCAGGACTTCTGGCCGGGACCTGGAGCCCCTGAGCCTCTGATCTCCTCAGAGGAAACAGAGGGTCTGGGCTTTGGAGCCTGAGGAAGGCCAGCTGCGATGCCCCATGTGCCTTACCTGCACCACACTGGGGTGAGAAGTGAGAAACCTCTGGGAAGACCCAGTGCTTGACCTTCCTCCCCGCTGGAGCAGGGCAGCAGACACAGCCCACCCAGGGTGCAGGTGGAGGGAAGTACCTGGCACCCTCAGAGCTGCCCTTGGACCACATCTTACCTTTCAGTTTACACACAGGAAACCAAAGGGTTTTGTGGGGGCACAGAGCCATCCAGGGCCCGCCTCCTTCCCAGACCCCAGCACCTCCACTTGCCCAACCCCTGGTTCATGGCTGGGTCTGCGCCACCAAGTCCTCACCCATATCTCCTAAACCTGTTTGCAGAACACTCCTTGGACTTCCCCGAGCACAAGGCAAAGGAGGGCTTGCAGCCCGAGCTGACACAGTGCCGTGCGGTGACAGGTCTTTAAGGACCTGTACCCCACCTTGCAGAGGCCCCCCTGGTGGAAGCTGCTCCCTTCCTTGTACGCCACTGTCCCTGCAGTCTGCACCCTGCAGCTGAGCTGTCACCTCTGCCTCCTGTGCCCTGCAGGATGGCACCACAGGATGGCTGAGTGGCTGGGTCCACGTGGAATTCCCGAGAAGCCATGAGGAACCTGTCGGCCTGTGCTGGCCAGGAGGGTCCCCGCTGCCTGGCACTCACCCCTTTCAATCGGGCCCTGCCCAGCCCTGCCCACCAAGGCTAATGTGCGTGGGATGTGCTGTGACCCCAGTACCATCTGGGTAAGATCCCCAGTTCCCGCTGGCCCCACATCACAGCCCTGTGTCAGGGACAGACCAGAATGGCCACGGCGCAATGCTGCCCACACGGAGGCCCCAGGGGACAGCTACAGCGTCCACCCTCAGTGTCAGCGAAGCCACCTGCACTGTGACAAGGTGGCCTGTGGGACACGCTGTCCCGAGACTCCGCACAGATCCTTAACCAGGCACGGCCTCTCCGCACCTGTTGTCGGCTCCTGCGCACCCGCTCTCGCTCTCCAGCTGCCCCATCCTTGGGATGCGTCATCAGCGTGGCCCCACCTCTTCGAGGGCCATGGGACTCACCCAGAGAGTGGTGGGCACCCAGGGGCCTCTGGGCGCTGCCATGCTGCCCTCGGCCTTCAAGCTGAGGCCCTGTGGCTGTGGCTCCTCAGGCTTCTCCTCCGTGTGCTGCTCACTCCTGCTCTTCCGTTTCCTTATGATCTGGGGTGGGAAATGCACGCAGGTTACTTCGAGGCCCTGGGCCGTGGAGGGGAGCAGACAGCTCTGGGATTTTCCAGCCAGGAGAGCTCAGCCCCAAAGGTCCACAGCCCTATCACAAGTAGTGACGGTGGGTGTGAGCCCTGTACAGTGTCACCCACATGCCAGTGATCAGGGCCCTCCCAGCACAGAGACACGAGGCACCTGCCCGTGACCCATACCCTTCCTGGGGCCTTGCCTTGCCAGGCTCACTCACCCCCCGACAGCAGATGCAAGGGTGACTACAAGTCTGTACACTAAGCACAGGCCCGGCCGCACAGGCCTAGGGACACCCAGTGTGCAGGCGAGATGCGGGAACAGCCTAGAGGGACTGAAGACCTTGAGGAGGCAGAGGCAGGCAGGTTTGCAGCTGTTCACCCGTGTGTACCCAGCCAGGGCTTAGCACGTGGCAAACTCAGGCTTTGCTTTCTGGAACTTTCTGGGATATTTTTCCCAACATTCTCTACCCTGGCTGGCTGAGTCTGCAGATGGGGACCCCAGGAACACCCAGGGCTGACTTACCAGGCTGGGTGCTGTGGACGCTCCACCCACTGAGCCTCAGAAGAGCCCCAGTGGCCCATGAAGGCGGTCAGCACCCCAGGCTCTCACTCTTCCATCTCCCCAACTCCCCTCGGCTCCAGCCAGCACCCCTACCTTCTGCAGGATCGTGGCAGCCAGCTCCTCCGTGAGCTCCTCGCGGTGGTCACGCAGGTAGGTGGCCTCATTCTGCTTGTCCTTAGGGGAGAGGACAGAGGGGACACGGTCACTGCTGCCCTGGGACACTGGCCCTCCATCACCTGGTGCTCAGACCTACTGCCCTCCCTCTGGGAGAAGGGCCTACCAGGCTGTCCACGTGGGCCTCCGCCTTGCAAATGGCTTCCTCGATGGCCTCCTCTGCCACGCGCAGGGCCACGGCCACAGTGTCCATCATGCTGTGTCCTGGGTGGAAGGCAGAAGATGGGGGCTTCCTGAATGGGGTGGTGAGGTGGCTGGCATCCACCCAGGACCCTCTGCTCACCCTGGTGGCACAGGGGCCACCTGCGGACCCCGCTCCTAGACATGGTCATTTGTGATTTTTCTGGCTGCTCTGTTCTCCTGCTCCTGCCCTCAGGCCCTGCTTGGTAACTGAAAGGTTCCTGGGACCACAAGAAAATAATGGTCTTTACCCCCCGCCCCCAGATTAAGCCTAGGCTTTGTCCTATTCATGTACAGATCACTGTGATCAAGGATCCAGGGTATAAAATGTGCAGGTGCTGGGTGTGCCTGCGATCTAATGCAAATATGGAACCCATGGGTGAAGATTGGAGACTGTAAAACGCTATCAACAACACAGCCAACCCTGCAGAGCACAGTCACAGCCAGGCCCAGCCCAGTGCTTCACAGCCTCCAGTACGTTCAGCAGTCCTGGAGCAGGCGCATCTCGGACCCTGTTTACAGATGGAAGAGGTGAGGCTCAGAGAGGGGTGACCTGCCCATTGAGGCCGTAAGTGAGCTCAGAGCCATCTCCAAGTCCTGGATTTCTGACCACAGTGATTAGATGACCAATGCAGACCCGGTCCTGTGTGCTTTGGCACACTGCTGGTGAACACACTCGTGGTACTTCTGCAGCTGGCCACAAGCGAGAGGAAGAGTCCACCTCGCAGCTCTCTTGCTGGGTCGGCACATCTGGGCACAGAGTACGGTCTGAACAGGCTGGGCCTGGGTCCATGTCCCGTAATTTTCTAGTTGTGAGTCACTGAACATATGCACATTTCCCATCAGCTGCTGGAAAGTCTTTGAGGAATGAGAGAAGGTGTGGACACCAATTCGTTATTTAACTGCTTATTCAACTGAAGCTGTCCAAGGTTCCTCCAGGCGCAAACATGGACGGAAGGTGGAATTTGGCTCGAGTCTTCAGTTCTTAGAGCCAGCTCAGCTGGTGCCCGGGGTGCAGCCAGGCTATGGGTGTGCTTTGATGGGCATGGAGTGTCAGAGCCCTGCACAGCTCCTCTGTCTTGCTAAGTGGAACCTGTGACTTCTGAGCTGCCATCACAGCAGCACCCCTAGGGACAGCACTGCCTCCACCGTCTTCCTTGTGACTCCTGACAATGCGTTTTTTGCCAAAGAGGCCCGAAAGTGTCCAGCAGTGGTTATGGAGCCCTGGGGAAGCCAAGTCCAGCTCTCGGAGCTTTCCCACTTCCAGGGATCAGCACACTGCTGCAAGAATAGCAGCTAAGCCCCAGCCTGGAGCCGGATCAGGTGGCTCTGCACGCACCGGGTACCTCTCTGCTCAGTGTGATGCGGAAGTGGTTGGGGCAGGCAGCTTGGTTGACATTTCTGGCAGGGGTGGAGGTGGCAGGCAGGGCAGCCAGACTCTGGAGGACTTGGCCATGTGGGATGCCAGCTCCATGTGCCGGCTTGGCTGGCATGGTGAGGTGGACGTTGCTGTGATAGTTTTGTAGACATGGTTCACATTGCAGTCAGCTGACTTTATGCAAGCAGGGTCCCCTCAGCTATGTGGTAGCCTCTTCCAGACAGCTGAGAGGACGCAAGAGCAACAGGAAGGCTTCCTAGGAAAGAAGCCCTCATCAGGACTGTGGCACCACTCCTGCCGTAGTTTTCAGCTGCTGCTCTACCTTGGAGATTTCAGGCTTGCCAGGCCCTACCATCCGTGTGTGCATGCATGTATGCATAGGCGTGTATGTGCACACAGGGGAAGGTGCATGCATGTGTGTTTATGCGTGTGGGTGCACATGAGTGTACTTACATGTTTGTCTTCTGATTGTTCTGACTGATATCATGTTACTGAAATTAGTTCTAACACAGAAGAGCTTTGGGCAGGGAGGTGCTCAGGCCGAGAGGGTCAGAATGGAAAGAAAGGGCTGGAGTTGACACAGAGCTGGTGGCACATGTTCGGTGGGTGCAGGAAGAGGACTTTCTGGGGGATGAGCACAGAGAAGCTGATTAGGATGGGTGGGGACGGAGTCCTCCAGAGCCCAGAAGAAGAAACCTGAGGCTAGAACACCAGGCTGAAGCTGAGACCAAGCACTGCAGGCTCAGCAGCAATCAGGGGTGTGGGGTGGGGCCCTTGATGGCTGGGAGACTGCGGGGAAGTTGTGCAGGTAAGCATTTGGAGGACGGAGCTTCAGAAGGTTCACCCGAGAGAGAACCAACAGCTGTATCTGTGTATCTGTCTATGAAGCTGTCTAGTATCTGTCTGTCTGTCTATCCTTGCCTACCCACCTGCCTGCCCATTTATATATGTGTCTGTCTGTCTGTTGTCTGTCTGTCTCTGATGGAAACTGGCTCACACCACTGTGGAGACCCTGATGCGCAATGCTTTGCTATATTTGAGCTGCAGTCCAGGAAAGCATGTGGTGTGATTCACCCAAGTCCAAAGGGCATGAAACGAGGGCTCCTTGGTCAAAGTCCTGGGATCTGAGGCTGGAACCAGTGGCTCCGGCATGGAGGGCAGGAGAGGACGGTCATCTCAGCCCCAGGAGGCAAGGAGTCCCCTCCTTCGCCTGCTCTCCTGGCCCTCGGCACATGGCACTGGGGCCAGGGCTGGACGCCTGCCTGCTCCGCACTAGGGAGAGCGGATCTGTTACTCAGCCAACGCTGGCCTCTTCTGAAGTCACTGTCACACACATTCAGCACCGTTCCAGCTGCTGAGCAGCCTCAGCCCAGCATGGGGACGGGAAGGTGCCATCACACCAGAGAGGCCAGAGAGCATGTGGATGGTCGGCTGGCCAAGGGGCTGCGTGTGCAGCCCAGAAGGTCTGCGGTGACGGAGACGGTCTCGTTCTCAGTCAGTTCCTCTTGCGTTTTTAGCCCCTGCTCTGGGAGGATGGGAGTACTGGGGTAAAACGGGAAGGGAACCAGTGGGTTGAACTGTTTCTGGGCTGTCTCGCTGGGAGATGCATGGCAGCGTGCTGGCTACTCTGTCCCATGGCGGGCAGTGTGGACCCTACATGCCCAGGCACGGTGTGCACCATGACTGGCCCGAGTGGCCACGAGAAGGGCCGGGTCTGTATGGAGACCACACACAGCAGGAGAAGCTCATCCAGGGCAAGGGACAGGGCCCGGTCCTGCTCCCCCAGCTCCCAGGACTGAATCCTGGGCACCTTACCTTCCGACTGCCGGTAAAAGGTGGAGTCGCTGCCCGAGATGCTCCCATCCTTCTCCAGATGGGACTCAGAGAAGCCTCCTCCTGGTGACGGGAGACAGAAGAGGAGAGAAGAGGAGAGGGGAGCACAGGGGGGAGGGGAGGGGAGGGGAGGGGCAACTGATCATCACAGGTCTTGGTTGACCACCCTGAGACTCTCTGGTCCCTTCCACCCTGCTTGCCTGGCGCATAGGTCCACACAGACTGGGCTCGCTGGCCCCACAACAGTGCCCTGGTCCTCCCACACCACTTTTCTTCTTACACTGACTTCCGGCACAGCACTGCTGTGGCCCCAACTCCCACCCAGTCCTGTGATGGTCTGGACTTCTGTTCCCCTCATGTTGGGAGTTGGGGTCCAGGAGAGGCGATGCTATTTGGGGGGTATGGGTCACTTCAGGGGGTCCCCCTTGCTCTCTCTGCCTTTCTGGGACCTCCTGGCCTCACCTCAGTCAAAACGACATTGCAGGAAGTTCCTGCCAGAGGCCCGCTGCTGGGCCCTGAGCCTCTCTGTCTACCAGTCACAGCTGTGACCTGACAGAGAAGATGCAGCTTGGCCTGGGCCAGGGGCGATGTAGGGGCCAGGAGGGTAGGAACTGAAGTCCAGAGGTAAACCCAGCCCTGGGCCCTGCAAGTTGCTCGCCATGTGACCTGGAGCAGGGACTCCACTATTCTCCTGCTTGGCTTTCAGGATGGGAGAACAAGACTCTGGGTCTTCTCCCTGATGCATGAGGCCTTCTGTCTCCCTAATGTGGCCTCTGGTGAATGAGTCCACATCTCCGTCTCTTCTGCAGACAGGAGTCACACGTCGTAGCTGGAAGGAGCATCAGGCCACTGTCTACCTTCCGGGGCTCCAGCTGGGGAGGAGCAACTGGCCAAGACATTCCCTGAGCTGGGAGTCTCAGGTTTGTGCTCCTGCACCAAGCCATTATCTGAGACGTCTTGAGGTGGGATGATGCCCTTCATCTTCTGAGTCACTGCACTTCAGTGCCTGGGAGCAATGGAACATCAGGTGGCTCAAAAACTAAAATATAAACCCCCAGCGGCTGCTGCTGCTTGTCAAAGATGCTGCTTGAAGTAACCAAGGACATAAACAAGAGCAGACATGCTTCAGCTGCAAGAGGGCCAAATGCCTTTGACCCTGGCCAGCTGGGCCATCACAGGGCTCCCGGGGCAGTGCGGCATTTGCAGGGCATCTGCAGTGGGTCTAGTGAGCAAGGTTACAGCACGCCTCTCACGTGGCAGCCTGGCTGCTCGTCCCTCTGCATCTGTGTTCACAGCTGTGTTTCTGAGGAGTCAAGGTCTGTGACCCCAGGGACGGATCGGTCTCCCCAGGTCCTGCTCTCTTTCAAAGCTCTTGGATGCCACCTCAGTATCTGGCAACATGCCCAAGACATGCACTGTGCTGTGGCAAAGCTGCATCCAGCCTCACACACCTATCCAGTAGGCGCCCACAGACACCCCGGGTGCCTGGCTCGGACCGAGGCAGGGGCTTGGCGAGCAGAGAGAAGCCCCCTGCCCAGCAGACTGGAGAGTCTCACGGCAGAGACGGCAGCTTCAGACTCAGGGACGCCAGACAGGGTGGGATGTGTGAGGGGCTCCCGGGAAGGAGGTGTTCTCTGGAGACTGACCTGGTCAGTGAGGACTGGCCGGGGTGTAGCTGGGGAGCCCTGGCCAGAGCAGACAAGAGCCCCAGTGAGGTTCACATGGGGCAGCTGCCCGGGCTGCCACCACCGAGGACCCGGGACACGGCTACCACAGCAGCCGAGCTTCAGGCTTTATCCCGACAGCCAGTGAAGCCAGCACAAGCTCACAGAGGTGACCAACTGGTCAGATTGTGCCCCAGGGTGGGCTATGGCAGGAAGAGACAGAGCGAGTATGAGCCCATACTCCAGAGATTCCTGTGATGGGGAACAAGGCTGGACCTGGTGGAGGATGATCCAGGGAGGTTGCAGTGAGACATGCAAAGGAGGGTGTGCATAAGCCAATGGGAAGGTCAGAGGTGAGAAGACGGTGTGTGGCAGGGACCTTAATATTGATCATGCCAAAGCAGACTGTGAAGAGTTAGCCCCACAGTTGTTTGTTTATAGGAGTCTGGCTGAAGCCTTCATGCTGAGGTCAGAGTAACTCGCATCCAAATTCTGTTCTCACAGCTAAAGCCTTCTGACTAGAAGGACAGTGTTCTAATTACAATCATATACTTTGTCTATTCTGCTCCTAATTTGAGAATGCTTTGTCTTGTCCTTTATGAGCCTCATTTACATTAATTTCTATAGAAACCACATGTTGCTTTTACCCAAATGATTGCCCACGAAAGTCAGTGCCTGGGACTGATCAGGGCCATGTCGGCTATCTGGCATTGGTGGTCCTGGCCCCTGCTTTCTCTCCTAGTTCTGTCTCATTGTATTTATTTTCTTTTTATTTATTTATTTGATACTAAATAAAAGCATGCATTTTTACCCAATTGTCTGAAAATGAGGCACTCTCCTTCCAAGATGGCGCACAAGCACTCACAACCCTGCAGAGCACACGGGCTCAGCACTGCCTCGCTCCCCAGGGCCTTTGAGAAATGGAGACTGGAAGCGAGTGCCACGCTGCAGGTCCTCCACAGCCCTCTGCTTCCCCCCACAGTTTGCATTATGGGTGAAGAAATTCTAGGGTGTCTGCACTTAGTGACAGGGCGGACAAGGATGCAAGGGGGTACAAACAAGAGGTCAGTTTATTCTGGGATTGTCTTGAGGTTGCTTTTCGGGTCAAGAAACTACTGTTACCTGCATATCCTTTAAGTTTGCCTCCTTTCTTTTTTGTCTCCATTTCCAGAGAAAAATCAGTAAAGAGAATATAAAGACCATGCATAGAAACTGTGGGTGCTGCTCTCGGCCACTGGCTTCCTGAGTTTGAAAGCTGAGGTTCTCACGGAGACGACAGAGGCCACAGGGATATCATCCTGCTCAAGGCTGCCATCCCGCTGTCCTGGTACCCAAGCAGCTGACCCATTTTTAGATCACACACAGACTTTACTGAGACTCCAATGGAAAGTAACGGTGCTGAAAGCTCCAAATGAGGAAGGACTGTTCTTCCTTGTTACTCACAGATGAGAAGCATTAACCTGAGGCAGCCATAGGGCGGACAGATCTGCCGGCTGAAGGAGGAGGCCAGGCCAAGGACTCGAGTCCTTTCCTTACAACTGCTTCTTTCCCCTGGCTGGGCCACTGGACTGCAGACATCAGGTCTCCTCTGCTCAGGGGCTATCTGCCGTCAGTGTGGAAGGCCCCACATCCTTCAGCACCAATGCACTGTACTGTTCCCATCACGCCAGACTCAGCCTGGCAAAAAGGGCTTTGGAGTAGGAAGACCGTCTCTCCTGACCAAACCTAGGGGTTTCCAGAGTCTTCCTCACCTGGTCTTTTTGGCCAGGACAATAAGAGCCTTTCATTTCCAGGGATTCAGAATTAAAATATCCATGATTAGCAGAAATATGTTAGTCTTTCCGGTTCCTAACACATCAGCTGCAGCTGATAGGGATGCTGGAGCCCAGAGAGTCAAAACGGAGCTCAGTCTGTGTCCAGCCTTCTGCTCTGCTCCTCGCAAGCACCAAAACTTAAGCAGACTCCTCTGTCCCTGGCAAGTGTGCCCAGCACTAGGGGCTTCCACGCCCGGCCTTTCTCCACCCTGCCAGACACCAAAGACCCCAGAGCCGCAGGCAGAGGTACCTAGGACGTCAAGGCATGCGCCGGTCTCCAGCCGGTGCTTCCGGTACAGGTTCTTGAGGACCTTGGCACTGCCAAAGCGCTTGAAGCGGCTCTTCACGTTACTGTAGAACCATTCTAGGGACTGCGTCCTCAGAAGCCTGCGGAGACAGGGAGAGAAAGGAGGAACTCAGAGTTGTGCAAAACTAACACGGCACTCTGCAGATCCTCTACAAGATGTGAGTTCACTTCTCAGCCCCTCAAATCTGCACCAGCCTCGGCACCTGACCACAGAGTGAGGTGGACAGGATGTGAGCCCTGAGCCTGTCTCCTCTCTCGCTGTTCTTGGATCCCGTACCTCAGCACCACGTGAAGGGGCCCAGACTGCCTTGCTGGGTGCGAAAGACACTTAGGCAATCACTGTCCCGCAGAGCCCAGCAAACAGCAGGTGGTAAACGCTCACCATTCTAAACTACCAAGCTTTGGGAGGTTCATTAAGCAGAAAATTTAAACTGACGCATCTCTTCAGTAGCAGGCTTTATGTTTCACCCACTTACTGCATTAATGTTTTAAATCTAGTGTGGGAAAATAAAAAGCACAAGTAAGACAGCAGCAATTCCAGCCTCTGCCTCTTTCAGCTCTAAGTGCAGTGGTGAAGTGGCTTCCCCGTTGGATCTGTAAGGATCACTACAAAACCAGCAGGGCTCTTCCCTTTCATGTTTGGTTAGGCCATATTTTTAAGGCCCTTCCACTTTCAGTACAGCTTTTGTTGTTACTTATCTTATGATGCTTGTAATAATACACACATTTTAGAAAATTCAGAAAAGCAAAGTGAATATAAAGGTGTCCGGATCTGTGAAGGAGCAAGCATGTGTGAAGCCGTTCTTCCCTCCCAACCCCTGGGGAAACACAAGGGGTACAAAGGGGAAGAAGCTTCCAAAGTGAAGAATCAGAGCTTCTCACAACTTCTGGAAAACAAGGTGGATGGCAGCATGAAGTTAGCAGAGGTCTTTCTCCAAACAGACAGAGCTGGGGCTTTCTGACAGAGGATCCAACTCTGAGAGGGCTGGATCAGAGGACAGGAGGGTGACAGTGGGTTCCAAAAGGTGACAGCGGCTGTGCAGGCCACAAGGCGCCTCTGCGTTCCTGCTCCCAAACAGCCAGGCCATCAGTCCAAGGTTGATTGGTCCTAGGCCAAAACCAGCAGCTTTCTACTAAAATCTACTGGGGAAGGTTAGGACTTTGGGTAACATCATGTAACGAGTCCTTGGTTGGCACTGAGGGCAGTCCGAGCCTGCTCGCAGATCTTGCCAGGCCTGCTAGGTATCTGCCTGGCTCACAGACCTGGGGCGCTTGCTTAGCTCTGTCCCCAAGCCTGTTTCAAAAGAGAAGTTACTAGAAATATTACTCAATAGCAGAGAAGGCCGTGCTGGCCACTTTAATAATCATGTAAATGGTTTGCCTAAAAATACAAACAACGGTCTCCAGACATTTGAAACAATCAATGGTATAAGAAGGAAAGATAGTAGGAACTTAGAGAACTAGGTATAATCAGTATGCTGAAAAGAACAAACTCTAATTAACACCAGTAGTGATTTGGAAAAACACTGCATCCACATAGTAGTGTAGGTGATGTGAAACACATGTTATTAGAGAACAAGAAACAACAGAAAGCAGGCCTGTCAAAGTTTTCATAGAAGATCTATAAGTTAAATCAAGATACAGTGCAACAGCTTCCGAATATACAAGGAGAAACAAGAAAAGAGATACAGTACAGAGGGACCACAGGTAGCAGATCGGGAGGCAGGAGGCTCAGGGTGGGACCCTGAGGAGGAGGCTGCACCACGTGGAGAAGAGGAGCCACGCCCTCCACTTGTCAGCAGGAATGAGACAGCTAAGATCTCTGGGAAAACACAGCTCAGTCAAATATGGTCTAAATATAAGACAAATGGCAAGCTGCTGGGGCAAAGGGTCAGGTTGCCTGCTTCTCAGTCACCCAGAGGCCTCAGCCAGGGATCACAGCTTTTGCCCTCCAAGGATTTCAAGTGATGATTTGGGGCTGCAGCAGAGAACAGTATGTCATCAGAGTAATCTTAACTTTGTACCTTCGGTGCAGACACAGCAGGAAACGTCCAGGCTGCTGCTGGACACTCACAGCAGCTGCCAGAAGTCTGGCTGCCGAGGGAGGTGCAGCAGTGAGCGTAGCCTGGGGATGCGCTCTCCTCACCTGAAGGGTGTAGCGAGTCCCTGGCCTGGCCTGCCGTCTGGATGGAGCTTCCAGAGTACAGGGCCCCGGTGAGGGCTGAGCCAAGCTGTCTGAAGCCACAGAGGCCACCGTGCATCACGAGGGTTAAACACAAGATCCAGGTGGCAATGACCCCTCACAAGGACTCCAACAAGCCCCGCCTCACAGGTGTGCTGTGACATGGTGAGGCGCACGCCTCGCCAGGGGGATTTGCACACAGGTTGTGCACAGGCATTGGGCGGAGCAGGGCTGGCTCTGCACCCTGAGCCACTGCCACAGCGAGGAGCAATGGGGCAGGCAGGTGCTGCCCCCCTTCCTATGACAGCAGGGAGCTCACCTCCTCCCACAGGGTCAGGGTGGTTCTGGGCAGTGTCCTGCCACTCAGGTCAGGTTGCCCCTCTCCCCAGGCTCCAGGGGAGGCTGTGCCCTTTCTGCTGGGCTCTGGAGGCAACTGGGCCATCACTGGGGAGACAGTCATGGTTTTCTGAACAGAAACAGGATGGGTAGCAGAAAGGGACAGGATCCTGTTGACATATGTGGTGTGATGAAAACATGTTTAGGAAGATATAGTACAGTAAAGGAGACTGTGAACGCCCCTCAGAATCTTCTCCTCACTTCCAACACACCCATCCCATCTTCCTTGCCTCTTCCTGCAGCACCTCTGGGGTCTTCTTACCTGGGCGTTTTTAGTTGCACAGTCATAGTTACCTCTGCGTCCTGAATTGATTCAACATTGACCTTTCACATTCATTTTCATTTTGAGAAGAGTCAGACTCATGCTGCCAGATCCAGTGAATAAGGTGGGTGAGGACATAGTGCCATGTTTTTACCCATCCTGCCTGCCTGTGGGGTGGTGCTCAGCAGTAGCATACGCTGTATTTTTGAACATACCTTGTAAAGACCTTCAGGAAAGAGGGCTCCAGAGCTGTTGTAGGAGGGGGCAATAATGATGGTGTGTTTCAAGTGGGGGGGTTTTTGAGGGTGGCTCATGGCAACGTGTCCTTCAATGTAATAGATTTTCTTAATTTAAGCACTCACTATGTATTTCGATCACACCTCACACTTATTTTTTTATTTGGTTTTGTTTTTTGAGACAGGGTGTCACTGTGTAGATGAGGCCACCTCTGAACTCACTACATGGCCCAGGATGGCCCTGAACTCATGGCAATCCTCCTGTCTCAGCCTCCAGAGGGTATGCCTCACACTTTCAATGCGTGGCTTCCTCGAGCCTGTAGAAAGCCTTGGACTTTCCCCTTACAGAGGCATTCAAGTTCCCTCTTCTGTGCAAGCTGTTGAGTTGAGTTCTGTTATTTGCAATGTGACACTGAGCTACAAATCTAGACGGTCCTGGAAGCCCGGAGTGCATCCCTGGACCAGCGCCTGTCAGGCCGCAGGGCTCTCTGTAGCACTCGGGAGCACCGAGCGGGCTCTGACAGACCCTTGCTGGCTCCAGTCTCAGAGCGGCCTCAGGAGGGAAGAATGCAGCTCTGGAGGACAACGCTTCAGATTCTACAGTGACCCAGAGTCAACGCACAGAGCGGTCTGGGAGTCCAGGGAGGGGCCCCAGAGGATGCGGTGCTGGTGACCCGTCTGACAGGCTGCTCTCTGGCTCGGGTATGAAAGGAAACGCACAGGCCACAGCGGGCAGGTGGGATGTTGGCAGCAAGGACAGTGGCACAAGGTGGTATCCAGGCACTGCACACTTCTGCCCACAAGGCCCAAAGGGTCTGACCGAGGAGTAGAAAGCCAGACAGAAGCGACCAGGCCCCAGATAATACGAACAGATGCTGCACGGGTGCTGCAGATCCGTCCTCCGGGTCAGGGGACCCAAGAGCCCCGAGGGCAGAGGCTGCACCTGCTTCACCTGCAGACAGGGATAACAGCGGCGCCAGGGAATCTCCGAGTCACGGGTCGGGGGATCCACGAAGAAGGCTCTCCTGGACATGGGGAGAGCAAACCGCTACCCCACCAAGGTCTCAGGCTCTCAGTCTGTGTGGGTGGAGGCCGGCATCCTGCTCTGAGAGCGTGGGGTCTGGGTAGCAGCGCCTCATGCAGCCCACACCTCTGATGCAGAGACATGCTCGTGATACAGGTCTCACGACAGGGGCCCGGGCCCAGCAATCGCACCCGGGACTCCCCAGAGAGGAGCTGTGGGTCCCCTCGGCGTCGGCTGATGCCCTGTAAAGGAAGAAACGTGAATGCCCCAGGCTTGTCACTGTGTTCGTCCACTCACTCATCACAGAGGTCCCGAGCCTCTCCAGGCCGGCGCCGAGGACCCCGTGTCAGTGTCACAGGCTGCTCAGGAGCAGGAGGTGTCCAGACGCATTCTCCTGACAAGGGCAAGAGGCCAGAGCTGGGGAGCTGTTTGGGGGTGGCTGGGCCTCTCCGCATGTGTGGGGTGTGATGTGGATCCAGTCCAGCAGGGCAGAGGGGCAGGAAGCAGGGAGCCTGCCAGCAGGATAGCGGTGAAGCAAACTGGTTGTTTATTTACTCAGAGACAATGCAGCAGCATTTGATGAACCAGCCAAATAGGTCTTCTCAGCAGGGCTCATTCTAGAAGTGAGACTTCACCGCTCCATGTACAGCACGATGTCATTAATGGAAACTGAAAAACTGTACAGCATCATCACACACATATATAGTCTAAACTCAGCTATAAAATCGGACAATATGCAAGGAGTGTTCCGTCTAACTTCAGGAAGAGAAGGAGGTGGGGTCAGACAGCAGCTTACAGCAGAGCTTCAAACACTTTTTACCTCCTCAAAACCTGCGAGGGCCATTGTGGTGGTACAAGCCTGGATTCCCAGCACTTGCTAGGCTGAGACAGGAGGGTGGACATGCATGAGTTCAAGGCAGCCTGGGCTACACAGCAGGTGTGAGGCCAGCCCAGATTGCCTAGCAAGACCTCGTTTCAAC